TCTAACTGCTGCGCCACCTCGGCTCACCTAATGATAGTTCTGCAAACTTTGGAGAAATCCTGCTGATAATACACGAAGGTGTCACTTAAAATATAGAAAATATCAACATTCAAGTTGGAACACAAGATCAGGAAATAGGTATAGCATAACTTTAAATATTATTCAAAATTACATTTCTGATGTAAAGATTTAAAAATATATAGGCTTATTTGGACAAATTATGTACATCTCGTTTAGAGAGAACTATCAATTAATAGCAATTTGACTTCCAAAACTAAAGCTTCTGAAGGGAACCAGTCCTCTTTAAGGAACTATAGAACCCTGGTGGTGCAGTGGTTAGAATGTGGTACTGCAGACTACTTCTGCTGACCGCCAGCAGTTCGGCAGTTCGATTCTCACTGGCTCCAGGTTGACTCTGCCTTTCATCCTTCTGAGGTCGGTAAAATGAGGACCCAGATTCTTGGGGGCAATATGGTGACTCTGTAAACCTCTTAGAGAGGGCTGTAAAGCACTGTGAAGCGGTATATAAGTCTAACTGCTATTGCTATAGTAGAAATCTCAGAAGAAAAGCACTTTGGAGTACATCCCTTTTTCATATGTGCATGTTTTGTTCATTGATTACCAGTGGCTTATGGATTAATATAAACTTATTTCTTATGCTTTTGTTTTGTACAAACTATTTTAATATAGCCTGATTCATCTTAAATCCTTAATCTCAAAGTTAGCCATCTGGTGTAGGGAGATAGACTGAAATGATTAGGGGTATCTTCTTTATTCATTATCTCTTTATTTGTGAAATGTCCTTGACATAAACTTTATGCCAATGCCTGGGAAAATACAGCTCTCTTCTCTCTTTCTCTCTCATTTTCTCAAATTAAGAGAAGTGATTAATTAAGAGGTACATGTTCTCTAAATTATACCTAAATCTGAACTTCCATGGGATTCTGGGAAAGTCAGTTTTGGGGTTTATCTGCTATAATCTTAAAGTACTTATATTTCATACACTTCCAATATATAATTTAGTGTTACCCACTTGAATGTTATTGTATCCAATCTTCCTACCTGCCACCTCAAAGCAAAACAGAAACAATAAGAAAAATGTAATCCATACTAAGCTTTGTAACCCTCCTCTCTCTTAAAATGCATTTTGCCTCCCATATCACTATTATGATTTGAGAAATATTCTGATATTCAGGAACAAAGTATTTAAATCTAAAAGGAGAAATTATTAGTAGCACCTAGAAAAATTACAAACCTAAGGCATAAAAGGCCACTAGGAAATAAATGAACAAATATAAAATTTACATGGATTATTGTTTGTATGTTGACCTTGCCATACTAAAAATCATGGATTAATTGTCCCCAAACACCATGGAATGGATATCCTTCCCCAGGGAAATAAGGAATTGCAAAACCAGAGAAAGGACAGCATCCCCTGGGTCTGAAAATCTGAAATCAGATGATATAGTTAAGGCAGCACCATGATTCAGACAGCAACAGCATCTCACTTAGCACAGAAACATGATTCTAGAATGCTAGTTTGCTTCTCCAGGGGCCAACATTTACCCTTATTGACATGGGGAGCTGAAAATACTAGAAACTGGTAGAGAAATACATGTACAGCACAAGTTGCAGAGTGTGACTGACGAGGCATTCCATGGACAGGTATCATAGATGTTGGCTATTGTGCATATAACAGAGAAGAAATACCTTCATTCCCATCATGGGGATATGAAAGGGGAGACTGCCTACAATTCCATTGTACCACTGACAATCTCTTTGGAGGTTTCCAGGGGAGCATTTCTGATCAATGTGCAAAGAAAATGCTGCAACAGACGTGCCTGTGGTCCGAATCAACAAATGTAGCCTTCTTCATAATTTTATCTTGACAGCTGCTTCCTGTTATGGATGCACCACATCAATGAAGGCTTGTTCAATTCACATCTGGATCCAAAGAGAGACTTTGGCATTCACATTCACATGCATCCTTATTCAAAAATAAATATGACACTAACACAACTGCAAAATATATGTTTCAAACATTACAGCCTTTATGATTTTTAAACTTTTTTCTGCAGTTCAATTACAATATTTGTCAGCCATCCTTGAACCAGCAAAATGTTATACTAGCTTAACATTTCCTGTCCCTACTGCCACTCCCTATCCTTCCTCTGTTCTGTTTTGCTACTAGCCCTCACCAAATTTCAATAATTATTTTTGATAGATTATACCATTGCAAACTCCATCTGTCTGGTTTTTTTGTCTGCTTTTCAGAAGCAGGGTCTTCCTGAGTTTTCTACTGTAGAGGTCACTTTCAGTCAAAAAGCAATGGCTGGTGCAACTTGATACTGTTATACTTTGATCTTGGAAGTCAGCCAGGATATGTTTTGAAGTCTTCTTTCGTTCTTTCTCCAGCATTTGAACTACCCTTCTGTTTTAATTGTTGGTCGATTTTTCTCTTGTGGCAATGTCCAGGCTAGTTGACCATAGCCCATGGATCTTAAACTTGAAATTATTAGCCATCTTGGTCACAGGAAACAAGACTCATTGGAGATGGTTTTCTAGCCTTTCCTTTCCCAATGCTTGGTTATTCCCATCTTCCTTTCCTCATCAGACAACTCTCTGCTTTTCTTTTTCTTGTCTATAGTCACTGTGCTGCATACTGTACAAAGTGCCCAAGTATTTTTCTCCATTCTAATAGGCTGAGCAACTGATTATAAGATTGAAGACACCTGTGATTCCAGTTAAGGATTCTGCCTAACAGACCATTAACATGCAATGATGTATTTTAACTTCTAATGAGTACTAATAAGTACTGTATGCCCATGCCATTTTCATTATAAGAATATGCTAAGTCATACATCAGTTTCAAGGCATCTGCCCCTGGGACAGTGGACTAAAAATAATAGATGCCATTTCCTTGTATCACTTTCAACTTATTTCATGGAAACTGGTGACTCTTAAGAAAAAGCAGAGGGTATCAATACTTTTAGCCACATCTGTATATAATGAAATTTTAATAAACGATTCTAGATCTTCCTAGAATGGTTTTTTTGTTGTTGTTAAATAAATAGCAACACTGGGAGCAGCTCCATCTGGAGAAATGGCTGCATCCATTTGCATGTTAATTTTTTTCTAATTTGGCTTTTGTGAAGGGATTTCTGTATGATTAACCACATCAACTAATGCATCGATATTATAGGATTTTCTGATATTTATTAATAGAAATGTATGTGCAGTTTTTCAGCTTATTTTTAAAATCTTCTTCCAGGACTGTATACAACACACTAAAATCTCAGAATCGTTAAAAAAAAAAAATAGACAACACAACAGTATAACAGTTACAACAAATCCTATGCATTTTACTCCAAAATAAAGACTCTTCCTCACAACCATGTTAATGCACATTCTGCTCCTCCTCAAGGCAGCAGAAAAGTAGGCTAGTACAAATTCAATTGGTTTTACCATGTACTGCCACAGGAACAAGAATAACCAGCGGTGCTGTTCTGATTTTAATGTAGGGAATTAAAGGAAAGTGATTGATGGGTTCCTCTGACTTGGTTTCCGCTCATTAAGCGTCATAGGTGAGTGGGAAAAAATACGAATTGCTTTCCTTAATGTGTGGAGGAAAGGGTTGTGTGGAAAACAGGTGCTCATTCAATAGATTTAACCAGCTTTCAAATTGCCCAAGTCACGGGCCACAAGTGTGAAAATGCTTTGCATCTGATATTAGTGATAATTACTAATATTGGATCTAACATGATTTCAAGACATTGCTGCAAAAATAAAACTGTTGTGCATTTTACATAGAAGCCTCCAAATCCTACAATCTTCTGCCTAAATTCTCTGGATCTTAATAATTATCATTCACTTATAAAGCTATTTTCTTAGTTTAAATAAAATCTTAACTAGAAACTTACATTTTAGTCCTTTATATAGTTTATTTTACTTAAAATCGAAATTTTGACATTTTTAGTCCTCCTTTAGTGACTACAATTAAGAAAATTAGGACTGTCAATTTAGTCGCTAAGCAGAAAATTATGTGACTGTGACTGGGCTTATGATTTTGCAGTACTTCCCCTTCAGTTCAGTCAAGTAAAGCAGTCACTAAGTGAATAATCAAATGCCTGCAAATTATAATTTTATCTCTACCTCCCAAACACTATTTCTTTTATCTTTCAAGAACTGAACAACATTTTTAACAAAATGAGTACAAAATCAGACTTGTTCAAAGTCCTTCAAAATTATAGTCTTTTCTCATGTTTTTGGAAAAGTTGTATACATTGGGACAGCTGGTTGATGGTTGAGGATTGTCTCGATCTTCTATTCCTCCAGATGGAGAGGAGAATGAGGGAGGAACTATAGTCATGGTAGGAGTAACTTTCTTAAAGAAGCCACTAATTTTAGTTTGCACAAGTTTTTTTCTTTTTTCCTTCATATATTTCATGATAACACCTTAGGACAGTGGTTCTCAACCTTTTTAATGCCGTGACCCCCCCAACCGGTCGTAAGTCGAGGACTACTCAGCCGGTCGTAAGTCAAGGACTACCCAACCGATCGTAAATCGAGGACTTTCCCTGCCCGGGAGCGCCACGCATGCGTGGTGCCGCCCCGTGCTGGCCGAGGTGTAGCTGACAAGGGGCAGCGACGGCGCAGGACGGCCACCAGCTGGCCCAGCCCAAGGGAGGTAAGGCACCCACCGGGCCACACGCACGCCAGCAACCCTCCCTGCACCTGCCGGCCTTCCACCTCCCACCCCTGGCCCTCTTTTACTTACATTTTTAGTAGTTGCTCAGCAGGGAGGGGTGGAAACTTCCAGACAGCTCGCCTCCGCTGCAGACAACTTGCAGCACCATTTGCAGAATGGGACTTTTGGCGGGCTCAGCAGGGCAGAGACAGCCTGGACAATTCCTATTGGCTTTTGAAAGCCAATAGAATTAGACTCTATTCAAGAGAGTCTATTCTATTGGCTTTCAAAAGCCAATAGAATAAAAGGGAGTAGCACAGCTAAGGAAAAGGGGAAAAAAAAATGGCGGACTGCGTTGTTTGGTGACCCCTGTGAAATGGTCGTTCGACCCCCAAATGGGGTCGCGACCCAGAGGTTGAGAACCACTGCCTTAGGATTTCATGCATATCCTGATACACCTTTCCAAAATATTCTATATTTGGATCCATACTTTGTAATTTTGATAAATTTTGGTTAATACCCAAGAAAACATCAGCCAATGCTTTCACATTGAACTTTTTGGACTGAATTTCTACATTTTTTTCCTTTTCCTCCTCTGGTTGTTCTTCTGGTTCCTCCTCCTCCTCTTCTTCTTCCTCCTCTTCTGGTTCCTCCCCTGGTGGTTCCTCTTCCTCCTCTGGTTCTTCCTCTGGTTCTTCCTCCTCCTCCTCCTCTTCTTCCTCCTCCTCCTCTTCTTCTTCTTCCTCCTCCTCCTCTTCCTCCTCCTCTTCTTTGATCCTTCGTGCTTCCAATTCTTCTTTCAGTTCGATTAAATCTTCATTTGAAAGTTCTCCCTCAGTGTAGGCTATCAAACTTTTCACATCTTCAGCACTGACTTCTAAATCAAGGGATTTCATGAGGGTCAAAATTTCCTTATTTATTTCATCCAAATCTCTGTTATGGTCAAACCCTTGAAAATTATTTACCAGAGCAGGAAAACATTTTAAACACTTTTTCCAAATCCCTTGCATGCATTTCATAGTGACACCCTGCCACGCGGCTGCAATGTTTTTGATGCAATGGAGGATATTGTAGTTTTTCCAAAACTCACGCAATGTCACCCTCTTATCCTCCTCCATTACATCGATGGCTTTGACAAACATTGCACGTAAATAGTATGCTTTAAATATTGCGATAGCTCCCTGGTCCATAGGCTGTAAGAGAGGGGTGGTGTTTTTGGGTAGATAAACCACTTTTACATCTGGGTAGATATTGTGGAGATGTGGGGGATGTCCAGGTCTGTGGTCAAGGAGCAGGAGAATTTTAAAAGGAATCTTTTTTTGCAAGCAATATTCCTTTACTTGAGGTATAAAACAATTCATACACCAATCCTCAAAGAGGACTTGTGTCATCCAAGCCTTCTGATTGGATCGGTAATAAACAGGCAGTTTGCGCTTGCATACGTTTTTGAATGCACGATGGTTCCCCGATTTGTGGACCAGAAATGGCTTCAGCTTGAATCCAGAGACATTTCCACCCAATAGCAAGGTTACTTTCTCCTTAAATGTTTTATATCCAGGCATTGCTTTGGCCTCTTTGTGGATATAGGTCCGGTCTGGCATTTTTTTCCAGAATAACCAGGTTTCCTCCACATTGAATATCTGTTCAGGCAAATAGCTCCCCTTTGCAATAATATCATCAAGTTCATCCAGGAAACGTTTGGCAGCTTCATCAACACTTGCACCTTTACGTGACCTGCGTGTGCTATGGTAATTAAATCTTCGCTGAAACCGCATAAACCAGCCACGGCTGGCAGTGAACACTTCAGTACACTCCTGACCCGTTCTCTCCTTCAGTGTTGTGAAAATGCTGCGCGCCTTTGCCTGAATGAGAGAAAGGCTAATCGGAATCCTCTTTTGGATTTGATCTTCAATCCAAAGTAGTAGTAGTTTTTCTGTTTCGTGGATGAGGCCTGTTCGATGTCTTGTTATAATGGCATCTGTTCCTGATGCTCCTTTAATCGCTTTTTTGATCCTTTCCTTGTCCTTCAGAATAGTGGAGATGGTGGAATGGGCCAGCCCTTCTTCTTGTGCTATAATGTTTACCTTCTTCCCTTCGTCATGTGCTTTGATGATCTTCATTTTCAAATCAAGATTGATGGTTCTCCTTTGCTTCTTCATTCCTTCTTTAATTGAAGTGGAGCTCTTTCTCTTTCCTTTTGAAGACATTGCCAGCCAAAATAAGAGCCAGTTGCAAAGTACTGTAGATAGATAGAGACAGAACGGTTCAGAAGGATTTATCTTCAGTATTAGGATGGGGATGGATGGGGGCAGCAGTGTTGTAGTGCAAAAATGTATGTTTCTTATTTGCTAAAAAATTCTTTCTCCCATGAATGGCCACTACTAGCAGAAATGCATTTCACATTCACTTATTTACTATATTAAATATTTGTTTGTATACCCCAATTTTGTTCTTAACTGAATTCCTGCCCAGCTCCACCTGATCATTTTTTCCCTTAGTGTATAGTACCTGCAAGATTGAATCTGATTCTTGATAATGGGCAAGACTGAACTGTGAATGTTGACTGTACATACAATCCATTTGTGAAGAAAAGCCAAAGGTTCATAGGAAATTCAGGAGTTTAGAGAATAGACAGAATAGACTCCTATAGCAATATTGGTTCACAAGTATTTTATTCTCAGGTTGGTCTGTCATCTGCGTAAATCAGTTGTTTTCTCTCTCATACACACAAATCACTGTCACATATGAAGACAAGAGTGTACACTCAGAGTAGTTTTTGCCTAATGACCGCAATAGAGATCAGTCTCTTGGTCACTGACCAAATTGGTGATTAAACAACACCCAAGTGACTGTTTCATTTAATGACTGCAATCCCAGCACTCCCCACTGTGGTCATTTAAATGATCTCATGAATCCTTAAGTGAACAGAGTCCTCGCTGGCCGTGGAGGGATTTTGGGCTCCATGCATGCTTGGATTTCAGCTGCAGAGGTTCAAGCAGGCATGGAGTTGGGTGACCTTCTCTCCCTGCTCTCTGGGGGTCTCCATGAAGGCGGGGATTTTGGGCTTCATGCATACTTGGATTTCAGCTGCCGAGATGAGCAGGCATGAAATGGCAGGGATCTTTTTCAATCAGCCACCAGAGACATCTAGGCAGGTGACAGTGATTTGCAACCTTTCCATTGGCTTTCTGCAGAGACTGGCAGGGAAGATTACAAGTGGCAATCATGTGAACACAAGGCACTTGGCAACCAGTCTATATAGTTCCCTTCCAGAAAATAAGGATAGGAAAAGGGAACAGGAAAGGATAGGGAAAGGGAACAGGAAAGAGGGAAGAAAACTCAATTGAAATGAGGCAAGGAGAAGAAGGAAAAGGAAAAGAAGGAAAAAAGTCTGCTTAAGCATTAGGAAGCAGGTTCTTTTTTTTCTGAATTCAACCTTGAAGAAAGCAGGATTTTTTTTTTACTTTTTTACTTTTTTTACTGCAGTAATCAAACATAAAAAACTTTATTACTCCAATATATGTTGCCTTCATAGAGCTAAAAAATTGGATATCTTGCCTACATTGTATATGTAAAAAACTACTTGAACACATGCAAATTGATAGGCAGCTATCACTGAATACTGAGTAAAAATAGCCCATGCTTACTGACTGCCTCACGCAGCGACTTTTCAGAGTTACAGTGGAGTAACTTTCACATTATGATTTTCTATTTAGTTACCATGTTGCTTTAATTAGTGACCAAAGAGGAAATAAAATAAGCCCACATGATTTTCTACTTAGTGACTGCTGCTGGCCCCAAGTGTGGTCATTAAGTGAGAATAACAATGTATAAGAGCCAAATGCATGGGATTTTTTTTTAGATAAGATAGATCAATCCCCAAACAAAGGTTAGAACAGTGGTTCTCAACCTTTCTAATGCCGCGACCCCATAATACAGTTCCCCATGTTGTGGTGACCCCCAACCACTTATACATCACCAGGTGCCAGGGGCGTGGCCAAAGAAAAGGGGGGAAAAATGGTGGACAGCCTTGTTTGGCGACCCCCGTGAAATGGTCGTTTGACCCCAAATGGGGTCCCGACCCACAGGTTGAGAACCACTGGGTTAGAATGTTTTATAACAGTGATGGCGAATCTTTTAAAGACTGAGTGCCCAAACTGCAACCCAAAACCCATTTATGCATCGTCGGGTGCTGGGTGTGGCCCATTGGCTGGGTGTGGCCAATTGGGGGTGTGTGGCCCATTGGGTGGGCGTGGCTGTGGTGGTAACAGCAGACTGGGTGGGACTAAAAAGTTCAATCAATCAATTCCAACTTTGCAAGATCTTTTTTTTCCCACGAGAAGTTGAAATTAACTGATTGAACCTTTTTTTTTTTTTTGCACATAGCGGTGGAGACCTAAAGCGAAAAGGTTTTATAAAACCCAGCTGAAGGCCTAGGACTGGGGCGACGGCACGCGTGCCCACAGAGAGGGCTCTGAGTGCCGCCTCTGGCACCCGTGCCATAGGTTTGCCACCACTGTTTTATAATTTATCTCTTATCTATAAAATACTTCTGTTTGTATTTAGAAGAACTACAATACAGGTAGTCCTCAACTTACAATAATTCAGTTTTGTGACCTTCTGACAAGCAAAGTCAATGAGGAACCCAGATTCACTTAGCAACTGTGTCACTAACTTAACAATTGCAGTAATTCACTTAATACTGTCTCACTTAGAAAAATTTTGGGCTCAATTGTGCTCGTAAGTTGAAGACTACCTGTACTTAATAATACTGTATTAGCTCTGCTTATCATTAGCAAAAATGCATGCTAGTTGTTAAGTTTGCAAATAGTGATCATAAGTCTGAAGGATGCTGCGACTATTGCAAATGTGTGCCTTTATCACAGCTTTTTTTTTTTAGTAGCATGGTAACTGTGAAGGATCATAGCACAAGGCAGTTGGTAAGCAAGGCCTACCTGTATATTGTCTAGAATGACACATCAGGCCTTACAGAATTGCTGTAAATAAATAAAAATATCCACAGCTGTAAAATGTGACCTATTTGTAAAATTTATTTATTCTACTTAACAACAAATGTAACAATACTCTGCCGACGTGCATGTTATGCCCCTATTTGCCAGGATGAAATCAAGAAGGTGCCTACATCAACTCCTCGGGAGAGAAAAAAAAATCAGATAACAATTATGTCGAAATAAAGAATGCAAGCTAATATTCCTTTTCCAGAAGAAAAATATCAATAGCCCTGCTCCGCTCGCCCACTTCCCTTTGCAAACAAACCTTTCTCCGGAATGACAGGCATCCACCACCCCCTTACCTGCTCTTCTCCCAGCCCTTCCTTTCCACTGCACACTCCCCTTTAAAAAAAAAATGTAATCGGAGGTCACGGCAGATTCCACCCTCCCCTTTAACATCCGCTTCTCCCTTTGCCGGAAGGGGTAATGCTTGTCGGCGATACAGGAAGCGGATGAAGCTGGAACGCTCTTCCAGCCGAGAGACTAGCGCACGAGTGGGGCCGGCTGGGGTTGGAGGGGAGGGGTTCAGGAGGGTCTCTTCGCTGGAGGCGGCAGGAGTGCGGGGCGCGGCGGCTTTATGGCTCGGAACAGGAAGGTCCGGGGCTGAACTCCCTGCCCGTCCATGGACCTCGCGCCGGTGGCGGTAGCAGTCATAGCGGCCACTCAAGGGGCGCCGGGAGAAGACAGGGCAACGGTGGAGAAGTCGCCGGTTATCTACACCATGGAGAACAAGCCCATCGTTACCTGTGAGTGAGCTGGCAGGGAGGCGTGCGGCCGCGGCCGAGTCTGCTGCGGCAGGGTCGTTCCGTGCATCCCCCGCCCTGGGTCACCGGCGAGGGGCGGGAACCTTTGGCGCCGGGAAAGGCGGATTTTTTTTTGCGCGGGGGAAGGCGCTCATGTGTCGGGTGTCACTGCCTGGAGGTTTGGCTGCGGGTGTCCTGCGAGGTGTCGGGTCAACCTTATGGGGTTGACCGAAGAGCCGAGGTTTGCTTCAGCCTATAACACCGTGTACCACCGAGGCTCGGCTTACGGGACCGACGGTGCACGGGCACAGCCCTTGCCGAGGCTCTTTCTCTTCAGTGCTTGTTCAAATATTCCGCACGGGAGGCACTTTTTGGAGAAAAATCTATTCACACTTATTGTGCTTGGATGTCAAACGATTCTACACGTGTCTCTTTTAGCTAGAAGGATGGGTATATAATCAGATTCTTAGGAATCCCAAACCATGGACGTACCGAATATCTCAGCTTCACTTTTCCTCTCAGAGCAAAACAAACCTAGGAAAAGTGGGTTTGATAGAAAGGGAGTTGCTAAAGGAATTGTAGAAATCTGGTTTTGGGAAACTCAGATGGAAAGCGTTCATTGGCCCCAGATCTCTCAGTTGTATGATGTATACAACTATGGGAAATTTGCATTGTCAAGCCTTTTGCTATGTATTATTTACATATGAAAGTAGTAGGCTGATGTCCTAAGAAATGACAGGTTATCCTAACTGGCCTACTGTCATTTGGAGGGCTATGTTATAACTATTATAATGTAAAAAGATGGAAATGTTAAGAGCCTTTCCCACTTTTCAGTTTCAAGGTAGAGTGTTTTTATACCATCAGTTTTGCTATTGGTGGCACATTTTAAAGAGATAAACATAAGCAATAATGTAGATATATTTTGAAACAGAATAAATAATTCTCAATTTAGAAATATAACATGAGAAAGTTTAAGTCAAGATATATATTGTCCCACCATCTATATTTCTTCAAAATGAGCAGAGCAGAAATAATCTGAGTTATAGAAATAGAATAAAAATACATTTCTAGCAGGTTTTCATTCATGCGGAGTATTCAGTCTTACTATTTTAGCCCTGATGTTTTATAATGTTAAGTTAGTTTGTGATATGTGTGATGAACAATAATAGCTTGTCTAAAATGGGTGGTGGAAACATACTTTTTTGATTACTCCACTAGCTTACAATATTTCTAAGCTTATATTTATTGACTTCTTAGTAGCAAGTCTACTTGACAAACACCGATTGCTTGCATTTGGTTATGTGCATAAACATGTTTGTTTCTATCAGAGATTAGTCTGCATTTTTAATATAGTTATAGTTTTAGCTTCATTCTTTTTAATAAAAGACAGTACATTTCACATTTCCAATATAAAGACTAAAAGTTATAAGTGAAATCAAATTTTACTTTTGGTTGAATGTTAAGCCTTAAAACTTAGAAAAGACTATGTTTCACAGACATAAGTATACTGAAAAAAAGTCCTTACAAAGTAAAAGGGCTTCATATTATTTCAGCAATCCTTAACTCTTTAAGGTCTGCAAGGGAGAGAATGTCACTTCAGTATCCCATAACTGAGAAAGATATAGTGCATAGGTTTTCTTTGATTACCTGTCAGGGTTTTGTGATGCTGTCTTTCCTGGCTTCTTGTTATTATTTTTGGCCTGAACATGCCTTTTAACTCACAAATCCTGTCAATGAGTACGAAGGATTCCCCCCTCCCGCCCCTATCCTTGGTCCCACTTACCCAGCCAGCTCTGCCTAAGGTGCATGTAGGAGAAATTGTTTTCACAGGTAATTACTGCCACAATCTTTTTCTTTCCTCTCTCTCAACTAGGCAGATAGAATGCCTTTTAGTTTCTACTAGTTAAAGAAAACACAATATTATTTTAAAGCCATCAACCAGCAGTTAGTTTGAAAAGGCCTAGACCATCTGAATGAAGTGGACTGTCTGAATTAATCTTCTATTTCTTTCCCTGGAAAGACTGTAAAATCAAAAAGCTCAAGCAGGGTCTTGAGGCTAGTTAATCTCAAAGGGGAGAGGAGTTGTATTATCCAGGAATTTAGCTAAATGCTCCTGCGTTTTCTTACTAGCAGTTAAGATAGTTAAGACTTTTCTGGAATGGGGAGCTTACAAATAAAGTAAAATAAGATATTGAATTTCAGTTACTTGTATGTGTGTTTTGGTCTAACTAGGATTGCTCAAGCTTGTCTGCACCCATTACATAGTTTATTGAAATTAATGTTCATATTGTAGGAGAATAGCTATGTTAGACTACGATGGCAAAATTTAGGAATGTGATAACACTTTTTGCAACTAACTCTCCATTTTTACAGTATGTATGTATTTATTTATTTTAACCCACCTTTATTATTTTTATAATTATTATTTTTTATAAATAACAAAGCAGAAAACATACCTAATACTCCTTCCTCTTTCTATTTTCTCCATTTATGTGATTTATTTTTTATCTAAATCCAAAATAGGTTCTAGTTCATGTATAAAATATAAATACATCGCAAACACAATAATAATAATAAAGATTATTTAGAAGGCCAGATCCTGAAGTTGAAACTCAAATACTTTGGCCACCTAATGAGAAGGAAGGACTCACTGAAGAAGGGCCTAATGCTGGGAAAGATTGAAGGCAATAGAAGAAGGGGACGACAGAGAATGAGGTGGCTGGATGGAGTCACTGAAGCAGTAGGCGTGAGCTTAAATGGACTCCAGAAGATGGTAGAGGACAGGAAGGCCTGGAGGAACATTGTCCATGGGGTCGCGATGGGTCGGATACGACTTCGCAATTAACAACAACAAATAATAAAGATTAATTTTTGTCAGTAGTATAAGCAAATATTATTGTTATGCTAGTCAAAACCAGAAAGGGGAAACCATCAATTTATGTTATATATTAATCGAATGTAAACAGTTAGCAGAAAGTAATAATTATTGTCTAACATTACAAATAGTTTATGCCACAGGAAAACATAGGCCTTCTTTAAAAAGGTTGTCACATTTTCTGGAATTCAGGCTTAAATATCAGGAATATTCCTACTTTTAAAATTTCTGAAAACAATTCTCTAAGCAACAATCATAATTGCTCACGAATAGCTTCATTCCAAAGTGTCAACAGAGCATTAACATTAACACTAAAATATATTCCCATATATCTGTTTATTTACATTAAATATTATTCCAGAAAGATGTTAGTGATCCATATGACCCAATGAACTCTGAAATTTCTTACATCGCCAGCAGAGAAAATAATGATGCACGTCCTTTTGAATACATTCTTTGGAGAATCCAGTAAACTCAGAATAAGATATTTTGATGAATCAATTTTAAATTTTAAATTAAATGAAGCAAATTTAAAGTTTTTAAAAACTGCATGCATTGGTGTTCCATTATTGGGCGTTTCAGTTCTTTAATATGTGAACCATAAATGTCTTTAATGCTGCCTTTAAAAATGTTCCTTTGTTTTATATATGAAAGTTTAATTTCAGACATCAACTGCATCAAACACTTGGTCTCTAAAAGGTTCACCATCACTGGTATAGAGTTTCCTGCCTGAGCAGGGGGTTGGACTAACAGTGTTTCTCAACCTTGACAATTTTAAGGCATGTGGAACAACTCCCAGAATTCCACAGCCAGCAATGCTGGCTGTGGAATTCTGGGAGTTGAAGTCCACATGCCTTAAAATTGTCAAGGTTGAGAAACACTGGACTAGAAGATTTCCAAGGTCCCTTCCAACTCTATTATTATTATTACATATTACTTAAACTTGCTTTTAGTATAGTTTTTAAATTAAATTAGTAAGACATGTTCACAATTAGAGATAAATTTAAGTTACTGAAGATGGAGTTCTCAAAGTTGTCGAAGAAAATGAAATATAATTAGTATGCCTGTACCAGGACTACTATCTTACCATGAGCTCTGAAAATAATAGATTCTCTGTTTGCCCTGAAGGAAGCTTACTTTGACTATACCAAATTTTGGGAAATTTCTATTTGGGAAACTTGGAGGCAAACAGAAAAGGAAAACAGTTACAACTTAAAAAAAGAAAATCAACAAGGTCACATTTGCAGGAATCTAAATATTATAATCAAATGGAAATCAATGAATGGAGTTTTGAGGTATTGCAGTTATTAGCCATTGTGATTTATTCCATTCTTGGTTATTATATGGGCAAATGTTTGCTATCTCAACTTGTAGCTATTCAGTAATAGTGTTTTTATCTCATCCATTCAATTTATCTATTGTCTTTTTTAACTTTGTTAACCAAATAGTAGTTATTTTCCAGTCCATCATCTGCTTGCTTCAAGTGTCTAAAATATGTAAGTTTCTGCTTGCTGATGATTGTCTCACAGAAACTCTTGTTTATTTCTTCTAGGACTGAATGCTTGGTTTTTCTTTCAGTCCATAGTACTCTCGGTAACCGTCTTCAGCTACTTAATTTGAAGGCATTTATCTTTTTTCTTTCAGTCTTTTTCAGTGTTTACTGCCATTAATAACAATAACCATTCATAAAAAAACCTTTGATTTAACTAGTTTGATCTTTGTCCTAAAATATATTTATCAGTCATGATTTTACCAAAGTTTGCTATTTCCAGTTTCTTAGGAATAATCTCTTTATTTTGCCAGTACACTGTCTCTCCTTTAGCTATTCTTGAACTGGAAAAGAAATTAAACCAAACCAAAACTTTTCTGCTGCCAACTATAAATTCACTAAGTATGCTGACTGATATTAGTTTTGTTTTAATATTTTTACATTAACTCAGATTTTTCACTTTCTATTTTTCACTTTCATAATTAGCTCTTCTAAATATTTTTTGCCTTTAGCAAAAACATATCTACATAATCTACATAACTCGAATTGTTAGTATTTCTGCCAGTTTTAATCTCAAATCTCATCTTTTTCAATCCCACCATTTTTAAATATACACCCTGTATGAGATGTGGAGACAGTATTAGTCCTTGACTTAATTCCTTTCTTATTCTGGCTGGGCTTTGCAGTTTCTCCAGATGCATTTCTTACAGTAGTTTCTAATTTATGGTAAAGGTTTGTAAGAAGAATAAGTTATTCTAGTATATCCATTAGCCTTAATATGTTTCAGCTTTTGGCATGATCTATATAAAGATCTTGCTGTAGTCAATCAAACAAATGACTTCTTTAAAAAAATCTCTCCAATATCTATTTTAGATAACTAACATAAGATGGGTTATTAGGGAGAGATAAAGAAGTGGTTTTATATCTGTCTTTTGTCCTATGTCTTTTCAGCATA